CCCAATAGCAATATACTTTGGAACTCATCCAATTCTTTCTTTCATTCATATTTTTTTATGTCATTATCATCGTAATATATAAGATATCATGATTCAACACAATACTATAATATTCTTTCATATAAATACACTTAACATTAATATATGTACTTTCTCCATTTTGTTGTGCTTTTGAACATAATAGTAATGTACTTTATGAAATTTACCACTTCTTGCATAAGCATGCATTTACATACATAAATTTCATCTAAATACATTATGTAACTTATAAAAATATAGTTTATACTCTATTTTGATAATTTGAGAATACTTTAGTGTCATTCATAAAATTGTCACCGTTTTATTACATTCCAATCAATGACTTTGACTTTTCTAACATATCTCGTAAGCTTTAGTTATCATTCTTAACATCCCACCGTCGTGAAATTTAAACTTTTGAGATGTTACAAAAGTGTCATTTTAAAAGATGTCCTGTTTTTTTAAATCATCATACTTATATACATGTAAATATAGAAACCTACACATATAATAACAAACATCACATGGTACATATATCAACAAAAGCACACAAGGAAAATAAGACATTTTATATGGACATGTGCTCAAAATACTATGTACTCACCTTATTTGCTTATCTTTATAATCCTTTTGTCATTTAAAGGGTCTTCTCATTTGTTAGAAGTATCAGATAAGTATAATACATAAGTAACCATTTTAATAAGCAATATTGGCAATTTAATACATTAAAAGCCCCGTAAAGACTTTCCTAAGTTCATACAAACCATACGTGAAAACAAGGATAAAGTCTTTACATCTTACATTTGGTACGGTCTTGGTACCATATGGTATAGCCATACCATAGGCCATATTGACCGAAAAATATCGAGCAAGACTGTATACACATATGTCATATTCAGATTTTCTATCCAAAAATTATATAGGATGGAAAATTTTCTATCAAGATCGTACCTATCATTGTATGGGTTGGGAAGGCTCTGAAGAAAGTCGTACCAAACATTTTAGTATTTCCTTTGAATAAGGCAAACCGTTGGGGCAATAAACATAAGTGTACACTCATATTAAAGGTTGTAAAAGCTAAAAAGACTCGTGACAAGTTGGTTCCATGCATGCTTATCTTCCTAAGATATAAGGGCGTCATGTATGGTCTAGGGATTTCCCCATGCATACCATACCATTTCACCATGTCACGAAAACAAACAAAAAAAGAAGTCAAGGTTTTTCATAAAAAAAACTCACTTCTAACATTAAAACCACCTGTGAAATTTGTAGTGATTTGTACACAACAACTTTTAGTCGTACACAACAATTTATGCTTTAAACGATTGTATTCTACAACTATATAAAGCATAATTTGTTGTGTATGGCTAAAAAGTATTGTGTACGGATCATCACCCTTTTGTTTGATTTTATTTGCTTTGATTGGAATCAAAACATAAATGTCAAAAACATTATTGTAACACTTAAATCTCATCATTTAATCCATTAAAACCTCACCAAATTCTTAATTTCATGATTTTTCACCATTAATGAACTATTGGCACCACAAACACTAAAATAATGGATCAAAATGATACCTTAAGTTTATAAACACCATGAACTTAAGTTTAAACACATTAGATCTAAATTTTACTTAGATCGATTGGTTGATTCTTCTAATGCACCAAGCTTTTCTCTCTTTTTCTTCTCAAACCCATTATAGTGGTTAATAAAAGGTTTGAGATAGTTTAAGCCAAGAACTTATTTCCTTTTTTCACAGTTTGAACATTAACTATATTTTAAGAGTAATTACACCTTAAGGTTAAATCTTACATCAATTACTTCCAAATTAGTCGTGTAAATTACAATTAAGCCCTAATTATTTGAAAAGGATAGCATACTAGTCCATAACAGAAAATGGAAATAAGCAGAATATTACATAACTTTATTTCATTAACTTGAAAAGTCTTAAATCCCTTTCTTCTTGTAAAACACATACTCTCGATATATACCAATTTAATCATTGATCAAGTAAACATAAAAATTAAATTGTAAAGCATATACTTTTGACATTCATCAGCTTGTAAAATCACCTATAGTCAAAGTTTTATTTTTAACAATAAGGTTCATATATTTGTACTTTTTGAGAAGATGGTCACTGGTTCATGTGAAATGACTAGTATGCACTTTTGATTTTTTTTCTTTTTTTCTTTTTCTTTAAGTAATTTGTAATCAATAAAAAATAAAATAGACACCCATTCTACCCCCACCCACTCACCCATATTATTGTTGGATTAAGGTGTCTAAACTCATAACTAAATTGGTATAAACTTGCAAATAGAAGCAAAGTCCTTTTTGGGTTGTCATCATGACCAGAAATAGCTAGAAATGATATTATAAGAGAGAAGTATAATTTATTAGATTATTAGATGATTAATAAACTACTTGGAAATTATGAGGAAATGGTTTGTTAATATATTATGTGATTGATATATTAATTGTGTAACGACTCAAAAATCACAACAAATTGAAACTTTTAAATTAAACAACCCATAGTCAAAAATATTTACAAAATCATTGTTTCCAAATTGTTTATCAATATCAGAGTATCACAAAATCATAAAGCCATAAAACATAGGATATGTACGGTCACGCCTTCGCCTTCTCGCGATCGTCAGAAGTACCTGAAACAATAAACTAAAAACTGTAAGCCAAAGCTTAGTGAGTTTCCCCCAAAGTACCACCACATACAAAATATCAAACAAGCAGATAAGGGTCCACAACCTTCCTGGTTGGATTACCCCTGGCCCACAACCATACGGTTGGAATGGCCAATACATAACGGGTCCACAACCTTCCTGGTTGGATTACCCCTGGCCCACAACCTTCTGGTTGGAATGCCCCGGCCCACAACCTTACGGTTGGAATGTCATGGTCTGTTGACTTACAACACAAAGTAGTACAGTCTCAACCCCACCATACCATCTCGACATGCATATAACAAATAAAATATATCTAACAACAGATAATCATATAATCACTTAACAGACTGGCAGGCATATCTATAGATACTACTGCATGCTAACATCCTATATACCAGGATACCGATCTAACCGATTCTACAACATAAATAACATACTATCATATAACAGGATATCCAATCCACTGGGTCGGCCTTGGTGTCTTCGACCCGTAAGTATAGTGAGGAAGACTCACTTCACAGCCTGGCGAAAAACTGATCAATACTCTGATCCCGAATACCGGCTCCAACCAAGTCCTAAATGTCCAACATTTCCCATTAATAAAATAATCACAATTTCTTAAATTACCCTTGGTAAAACTTGGTTAGAACTAACAATTCAACTGAGTCAACCTAGCCGAGTCAACCCAACCGAGTCAACTCAGGGTGAGTACGTTGGGCGTACTCCAGAGGTACACGGGGTGTACTCGAGTTGACTGGAAAACGGGGGAGTGGACCGCGCACGCATGGTGTACGCCAAAAATCTCATTTTTCCCATTAAGTGCTTAATACATTAAGCATTCACGTC